ACTTCGGTCCGATGTCAGGGCGGTCCCAAGGAATGTTAGTATGTTACCGGATTACGGTCCGATGTCGGGCGGGGCCCTAGGAATGTTTAATTGTTAATGTTATATGCTTAGGTTTATGTGTATTATTGATTATGCTCACATGTATTACGAGATGTGCTCGATGCCGGGCGGGGCCCGATGCTGGGAAAGCCGATACCGAGCTTGACTCGATGTAGCAGGGGCGGGGCCCAAAATATGTTTATGTGATATGTGTATGGTATGTGGTAGTCGGGGAGACTCATTAAGCTTCGTGCTTACAGTTTTCAGTTTTGGTTTCAGGTACATCCGCTAGTAAGGGGAAGAGCTCGGGATGACTGCATGGCACACACCACAGTTTTTAGCGTGGGAGGATTTACTCTGATTTTTGACATATGATTTTTATAAATTCACAGATATTATGATATTTTTGAGATATATGGTTGTGACTTTTTGTGATTGATGATATTGATGGTTTTTATTACTGATTTAAAACGAAATTTTTGGACTATATTTTTGGGATGTTTCAATCTTCATGTTCCATGTCAGTAATACAAACAATGTTATTGGGAGGTTGAGATTACCTTGCATGAAGACCATTAGGAAGGCCATAACTCCACCTACTGTTTGAATAAAGCAACTTCTAATAACAAAACATATCAAATTCAAATAACAACATTATCATATCAGACCTCCATTTGGAGAAATCACTGGTGCTGCTGAAAAATATGTGTATTCTCAAGAAAGAGAAACGGTGGAAGAGATTACCAGAATAAAGAATAAAGAGAGAAACGACTACGGTTAGTATAAGCATACATGATGAACTACATGGAATTTCCTTCTTATCATCAATTAGTTTAGTGACCCTAAAAGATTCTAATGTCCAAAATCAAAGACTTGAGTTTAGATGTATGCAATTCCGGTTTTCATTTGCCAATTCTACAAGCATCATAAAATACCCCAAAATATGAAAAAAAAATGTTTAAAATATCAGTATAAAAGAAAAATGAAACGACAACTAAAAAAATGAAAATTACCTGGATGTTTTATAAGAGTATTTGTGGTGGTGGTGGTGGTGGTGAAAGTCATGGTGAGTGGTGTAGTAAGATGGGGAAGGTGAGAGTGAAAGACAGCGGCTACATTTTGTGGTCTAGGGTATCTACTGGGAGCACTCTCGCTTCTTCTTTATTTTCAATCACAACAATTTCTAGCTCATAATCAATCACCCTAGACAAGAAGTCCCAAAATCAGTCAAATTTCACAGGTCCTTTCGCTGAGGCATCCCATTGCAAGAATGTGTTGTTTTTACAGGTTCAAATAAAACCAAACCTACATAAAATCCAATGTTTTGTTCTTAGTTGTTGGAACAAACACCATACATATACCTTGGAGTTGAACCAACCCATAGATTTACCTATGAAGAACTAAATAGACGCACATGAAAATTGGAAGCCAACACATTGAACAAATTGTAGAAACTGTTAGCAGATATAGATTAATAATATTGTACGATGAAATTACACTTAGACATTTCATTTAAATCGATTTCAAAGAGAATTAGGTCAAGACTGTTAACTTAAACATGAGCAATTGATCTCCATCAATCCTACATAAGAAGTATTGTGTGATAACACTAATGATAAATAGAAAGTAATCATCTATATAAAAGCTTAAGTTATATGTTAATTAAATGGTCAACTAAACATCAATAATAGTTTGAATAAAATCCAAATTTTGAATTACATGATAGCATAAAGTAATAAGCATACCTTTATATGCTCCAAATTGTGATATTTCTTATCCATATCTTGTTGAGCTTTATATTGACTTCCCAAATTCACTAATTTTAACCTTTTGAAAGTAAAAATAATGATTTTTAGAAACATGTATGCCCATGTATCATCAAAAACAATAAAATTTTAAGACCTAATGAAATCTGCACCTGTATGATTAATTGTATAAGCCGACAACGAATAAATAGAGAGAAAAACAAAGGTACCTGAAGCTGCAAAAGCTTGTTGACCATGTAGCAGAGCCAGACGCCACCAAAATTTGAATCTATATCACCAAAAAAATGCAACTCGGTTAAATAAACCAATAAAAAATAGATGATGAGAACCATATCAAATACTTATAACAAATCCATACCTGTTATCGGCAACACATAATACATCTAGGTCTTTATTCCTGCACCTCCATTCTGTCCATCTTCCCCAAATAGGATATACATGGGAACTTTCTTTTTAGAGGATGATGCCGAAAATCGAAAATTCCATCTGGTGGTGATGAAAATCAATGATGGTAGTGATCGGTGTCTAGATTTCATTCCATGTCCATAAAATCAACACACATGTAAAGTTAAACACACACACATTTAGAGATTGGATTTGAAGAGAGAGACCTCAATGGCGGTTTAAATTTAGCAGTAATGGAAGAGGTACGATGGTCAGCCTTTGGTCTCTAGAGTGGTGGTGGGTGGGTGATACCTCTACGATTTAAGTTCATGCTTTAGAGAGAGGTGATTGGCAGTGGCTGATATTTAGTTTAGGGCACTTAGGGAGAACGATCTGAGTGACAATGACAACTAGGTTTATTAAAAGGCGAAGAGAGAAAGGGTTTTCCCAAAGGATAGATTTTAACGACAATGAGGGTAATCTTGGGTTTTTAGAGACGACGGGGAGATAAAAGAGACGACAGATGGGTGGTGGCAGAAGGCGGCAAAGAATCTTTAAATGGTTATGGGTGTGAAGTAGAGTGGTGATATATGAAGAGAATATGAAGAAAATTGAAGATAACAGAGAGGTTATGGGAGGTTATTGGTGAGTGAGTTTGTGATAGGGAAGCAAAATATAGGAACGATTCAGTGAGTTTATAGGTGTAATCAATACGTTTTCGCTATAATCTAGGATAGACGCGAAGATCGGGAATATAACCAGGGAATGCAACAAAATTTGTAAACGTGTTGAATGAAATAAGAGAAAATTTTTAAATTCAAAATATTAGATTATTTGAATTTTTCAATGGTTGACCGGATAAGATTTTTCTATTCTGTAATGCATAAACTCATTGTACAAATTGCATAAGGGCTTGTACGACTTAAAATTCAACATTTGACTAAAAATGATTTATAAGGTATAATATATATATATATATATATATATATATATATATATATATATATATATATATATATATATATATATAGGCTTAGATTATTTTGTTTTTACTAAGTATTGTGTGCCAGAATGCACAGATCTGGACCAACGGATGAAATTAATCAATGGACATGATTTGAGAGTGTATGATATTACAATGGGGTAACATGTACCATATAATCACACAATTTTTAGCAAAAGGGTATTTTGGACAATTAACTACATTTATAAAAGGAAATTTTCTGATTTTTAGGGATGATTAATTCTCCTAATTTAAAAAAATCTGAATTTTTTAATTAATTCAATTTCAATTTTTACCGATGTTATTCTATCAGAATATTTTTTGTTAGAATGATACTCTTTCAGAATTTTATTCTAATAGAATATTATTGAAGAAAAACAAAATTCTTGAATAAGATGTTGAAAAATAACAAACATTCTAATATATTCTTATACATCCGAACTTAAATACAAATTCATACATATTCTTACAGACTAAAAGTCTTATACATTTTAATATAGTTATAAATATTCTAAAAGAATATCAACAAAAATGAATAACATTCTTAAAAAATAACAACATTCTGCTAGAATACTCTCGTTCTCCATGTTTTCTTCTTGAATTCTTGAGATGTTGAATCCTGAAATTCTGAAAGGAATATTGTTGTTTTTCTTCATTCTTTGAGAATGAAGTATCACATATCTTTTTTTCATAAGTTTCCTCATCATTCCTGCATCATCCTAACATACATTAAATTCCAACAGAATATCTGAATCATGAATATTTGAAAGAAACACATGTTCCTGCTTACATCACCACAAAAAATACACACCAACTTTTAGTTTTTGTTTTCTTCTTATTATCTACAAAACTCAGAAGCTTTTAGTTTTTTTATATAATTTTACTCAATTCAAATGGTTTAGAAAAACAAAACAACTAAAGCCAGTATATGCAAAACAAGATTCTAACATAAATTGACTTTTATATTCAAAATCACTACAATAAAACATAGAAGAACAAGTATAAAAACAATTCCAAACCAATTACTGAATTAGACTTTTATAATCAAAGTATCTATTCAAAAGTCAAAGAGAATAATTGATATTTCCCACTATCTGATTCTTTAAGAATGGGATAAACAATTAATGTATAAAAATTTCAAGAGAAGTAAAATCTCTGAATCCAATAACTATCACATTCTTTCAAAATATGTTTTCTAATATCAACTTTCAAAAAAACCTATATATGTGTAACATGTATAAACCGAATTTACTTATAATTTTTGAGTAAAGTATTGTATATTGAATTTTTATTCTCTGTCACCATTAAATTTTGATACGTGAATTGAAAAACAAAATTATGTTTTTAAGAACCTACAGGTAGTAGATTGGAAAATGTCTTACTTGTATTCCAAATTTCATACTATTTGTTTTCATCGCAGATTATAACTCAAAGTTTTTAACTTTAAGATCTTGTCTAAACTTTTTTTTTATTTTGAAAAAAGATAAAACAAGGAAATTAAAGCTAATGTAATGAAAAAATCTACTTACTGATTGTCGCCAATGACAAAAAAAGTGCACCATTAACACAACAAACCGTCGAGCAGTTGGTAGGTGTCAACCAAGAGCAAAAAAGAGAAAATATTGACTTCCATCCTTGAAAAATTGAAGTGCGATCATCATTGTTCTGGTTAGAAAAAATGGGTTTACGGTTGTAAAGAGCGTGGCGTGAAGAGCTTGTTCTGCTTGTTAAAAAACGAAATGCTAAAATTGAAAGAATTTTTAATATGGTGTAATTACCTGCTAAGTGCCAGGCCTTTATCCCCAATTCTACATGAATCCAGATTCAACATCATCTTCTTCATCGGTCTCCGCCATTGAAGAATACGAGCAACATATTGCTTCCTAATTTCACCCACGATCCAGTAAAAATCTCGGAGTCTACCATCCTTGTTGTTCCGATTTCATTCAAACATCCTCATCTTCGATCATACAAAAACCACATAAATAGTTTCCCCTTTCCTCCCTCCGTTTATTTCGTCGAAATCATACAAGAAAACGACTCGTTTACCTCGATTTCTACCGATGACGGTCAAGGAAGGCTCACCGGGAATCGATAATTTCCTCCTCCTCCTTCGAATCGGTGAAGCATTGGAGGTGCTTCCCGATTTCTGATTCCAATCGTGCTTCTCCTCCTTAATCCGACGAAGATGAGCACCGGGGGATCTTCCCCTTGATCTTCTTTGCTGCCGACGACAGGAGAGGAACGAAGAACCGTTGACTGCCTTCCTTCGCATCTTCCGCCATTGAAGAATTTTTCAATTGCAATTCTATCATCGGTCTCCGCCATTGAAGAATACGAGCAGCATAAGAGGGATGAGGTGGATTTCAACGTTTGGGGAAGCGGTTTTGTGGTTGTGAGCTTCTTGTAGGAGACGTTTCCATGGCGGCAGAGTGGGCAGGGGATTGAACCTGGTGGTCCGGTTGGTGAACTTGGAGTGAAAAGGGTTGGAGGATTTTGGAAGTTTTGTTAGAGACTAGGTCAAATATACTTATTTTATTTCCTTAATTGCAAGATTCAATTAAATGATTTCTTTAATTAAAAGTATAAAAGGTCCAAAATACCCTTAAATGATTTATTTAATTGTTTATTATTTCTTGAATTCTCATTGGTGCATTTAGGCACACAATACTTGCTAAAAACATTTGAACATATATATATATATATATATATATATATATATATATATATATATATATATATATATATATATTAAAAAGTTATAAAAAATATATCAAAAGTTCATGATGTTTAATCCTTTATAAATAGAGTATAATATTGATATATTATTTATATATGTTTAAATATTAAAAAATGAGGTGGGGGGGTCGGAGGGGGGTGGCAATTCCTATCAGTTTTGTAGGGTGAGGAATGGTGAAGAGAAATTGATGTGGTGCTGATGTGACACCGACGTCGCAGACCAAAAGTATAGGGTGTGGTACCATACCCATTGATCATTTATAGTTGTTAAACAGTAATTATCTATATCATATATAAAACAAGATGATTTTTTTCCGAGTTGTCGCAAGGAAGGAACTTATATGTCATGTAGAGTCCCCGAATAAGCTTGAGTTTGGAATAATCATGTTTGTGTTGTGTTGGTTTTCTAGCATGGCATCCAATTGTATACATAGTATGTATTAGAGCATAATTATCAATTAGGTGCAGAACCCTAGTCGTTGTAGAAACTTCTAAAACAAATGTAACGTCCTAAAATTTCAACCAACTTTAAAAATTATAATTTAATCAACTAAAAACTATCTTCTTAAAAAAACATAACCGTCCATTAAGTTCAAACATCATAAAACAAATAAACAGGATTTCTCAAAAATATTAATATAGATGTGGGTATAGTCAGGCCGCTCCATTTCCCTTGTCATCGGAACAACCTAATATTTAGGGTTTTACAACTTCACTTAGACACTTATAGGGCGAGTTGCGACTTCTCCCAAATCCCAATTTCCATTCATTGATCATTCTTCGACTTCATCTTCACAGTTCACAAATCACACCTCATATCTAACAATCGAACGACGACAAGAGTTCAAGACCACAAACGGAAGGAAGACCATAATACAAGTCGACTTCTCCTGCACCTGTGTGTCTTCACCGTTTTCCCTTTCTGTGAGTCGCCTTCCACCTGTCGATAATCTACCTTCCTCCGCCAGCGACGACCAACCATTCTTCCTGCCACTTCGACGATAAGCACTCATTATTTTTTTTTTTTAAATCATATTGGTTTTGCTTATTTCCTGAAACGAGATCTTGACTAGCATAATAACTTTATGTTGAAATTTGATTTCACTTTTGTCATCTCTTAATGTCGATTACTCCTGTAGTATGGAGTTCATGAGTTAGTTGAACTTATGTTGCATTCCTTTCTTAATTGGGATTTATAGTTTCTGATTACATTAAATATTCTTGATTAGAATGATTGGTTACATGCTGACATATTGTTTGCATCATATGTGTTGTTTTGTTGGGTCTTTTTTTGGTATGTAGTTTGATTAAATTTTTTTTAGATTATATTGTGTATGTTCAATAAAATAACACCAATGCTCTAAATGTTGCAATAATTTTTTATATATTTAATTGATATGTTTGATGTTATTATTTGTGTTAATAAGATTGATAGTAATTTAGTAAGGCTGATTTTTTGTTTTTATGTGAACCATTTTTAGATTCATGTCTTCAGTAGAGCCGAATCAACCCAATGATTCAAACAGTTGTTAACGATATTTCCAGTTTTGCAGTTGAACACAATGAATTTGATTATGGGTTTTATACCTTAGAATTTTGATTGTGGGTTTATATACCCTTGAATTTGATTATATGATCCTTATATCTCGTGTTTGGTTCATGTGGCTTTATATACCTTGATTGTAATTTGAATTTGGTTTATATTTGGAATTTGGATATTTGATATCGTTATTGAGTCTCATATATTTGCTCCATGAATGCATGCTTAAGAAGGGTTGAGACTTATGTGGTCCCTAGATGGGGTAAATTCTATAATAATGACTTGTGGTGACTCATAAAAAGTATGCCAATAATGTGTAATAACGACTTGTGGTGACTCATAAAAGTAGGTTAAATATATATGATGATCTATGGTGAACTGTGGTGATTAGTGGTAAGATTTTGAGTTTCAAACTCAGAGTTTTATGGTGAGGAATTGGAATTTAGATGAGTTGGTTTGAGTTTTAGAAGCATTTACATAACATGTTTATTCTTAAAATGCTATTTGTTTTATTATGCTGCAATGTTACTTGATTCTTCCTAATTTCAATGTTTTAAACTCATGCGAGAAACTATTGATCTATAATAATCTTGTTGGATTTTTTTATTGATTAAATGCATAATTAAGTTACAAGTACTTGGATTTTGTTGTTTTTATAAGGTACGGATTTGTACATTTGGGTATGAAGTGAATGCTCATTCATACACTATCATATAATATCTAACCCTGAGAATGTACTCGCTAGGCTCCCCATTTCCCCATTGCCTAACCCACTATATTGATAAAATTTTGGATGTTAGTATCTGTTGGTGAGAAGTGTAAGAAGATTTATAAGCTTCGAATATTTTAAAAGACTTTTCGGTTTGTAAAGAATATATTTGACTCGTTAAACCTTTGTTTTGATATCTGTTGTGACACTCCCGCACGAAATGTCTCTCTAAACCATAAATTTTGGGACCGTTTTTTGGGAACTTATGTTTTTACAATTTGGAATTATTTTTAAAAAAATATTTTGTTAAAGTCTATTTCAGATAGCCCCATAGGTGTTATAGTTATGATCGTGCATTTTATTCAATGGAACGCCTTTTCTTAATATGAATCCTTATTATACTTTAATGAATTCGAATTATGTTATGAGGTTTTTTAAATTTTAACGAATTCAATTATTTTATGAGGTTTTTAAATCTGGTAAGGGTGATGTGGTCCTTCGTACACTACCATAAATGTCTAACTCGGCGTGTCAAGTATAAAAAATACAAATATACTAAAATACTAGATAAATTGTAACAACCTGTATTTTTCATAAAACATTTCACATTAAATTTATGGAAAATATTAGAGTAAGCAACAAGTAGACAATACCTTTTTGGGGATTCCTTAGCAATATATGTCAATAAGGCAACCATGGAGGAGGAGGGGGGGTAAAGTACATCAAATGAGCACATGGTTAATTAACACCTACAGATTTCAAGCATGTCAGTGTTCCATTGGACTGTCTAGAATAGTCTATGGTCGTCATCAATACTCTACTAGATGACTGCATCATTAGTACAATAGTACAATAATGGTCACGACCTTACATCTTTATCTTATCTTGCATAACACTTTTCTACCGAATATATTAAAGTACGATAAAACACATATAAGATTAAATCAAGTAAAATCATACCATATTATTTCATCTAACACAAATATCTTGAACATAGATAATAAGCACATATAGCATTTAATTATCTAAATATTTTATCTCTGTGTAAGATGAAAGTAACTATGCACTCACTTGTTAAAAGTTGATGATTTGTGATTAGGTTAGCGCTTTGCCTAACACCTTAGCTTTTCCTTTCAAAATACCTAGATATAAATATCACTAAGTGTTAGTCTTTCTTTCATATTCATCGCGACTATAATAACGATAGCTTAGATTCCTCAATTATCCCATTGAATACATCAAGATCTAGATGATAAGGAAGAACCAGGTACGATCATATCGGAGACGGATCCATTTGGTATATATATAATATAGACTGTTTGGAAAATCCACTTTAAACACCTCACTAAATTTAGCCTAGACATCACCCCAATAAGTAGATCAATCAGTATTATGACATGAAATCACTGATAATCTTAGTTATAGGTTCATAATAATGATTATGAACAGAAACACAAGTTACAGTTAAAGCAATATAAATGCAGCTTAACTTACAGAGTTTTCGGACAAAAGTCTGGAAAGTTCTCAGGATGAACTCTGGCCCGAAAGCTTCTATTTGTTAGACTATATGATAACCCAGAGCTCCACTAAAACACTCTAAGATCTATGGAAAATCTAACCCAAGAAGGGAAATGGCTAAGGGAGAAAGAAGTTGGAAATGAGAGCAAGAGAAGCAAAAATCGGCCAGCTATATATAGAGTCCTGGGTCGCGCCATGTGTGGACGTTTTTGGGTGTAGCCGCGTCATCTTGAAAAGCTTGGGTTTAATTTTTGAGACATGTCCCAAAGTTATGGTGCCACATCACTTTGTTCGCTGAAGAAGGGATCCGTCCAACAAGGCCACATGGCGCCCTTCGGGTGGTGCCATGTCATCGCCTAATGAGTATTTTTTCGCAATCTTTGGAATATCATAACTTTCGCATACAAGGTCTATTTTCGACGTTCTTTATATCCAGACATACCTATTTCCAATTAGTACAACTTTCCTTTAGGTTCTAATAGTAATTCTCATTCTATTTAATTTCATATTTTTATAGAGATTATATTGTTAAAATCCATATGAAAATCATAACTCCTTCATACGAATTCCATTCTCGACTGTCTGTATATCGACGGATTGGAATTTACGAAACCTTGGATTCTCGTTTAGATTGTTTTTGGCTAAAAATCAACTGATTTTAATTTTGATTTTTTGTGTCGCACACTATAGTATTGTGCCGCACTAAACCTTCGAAAAATAGTAACTTCCTCGTACGAAGTCAGATTTAGGCGTTCTTTATATGCATTGGCTCGTAATCACGACTACTACGACTTTTGTTTAAACTATTTATCCTAATTAATC